TGAAGTTAGATGAGAAAAAATCAATTGACAAGTGGGGTGTTTGCTCTCATCATCAAGCCGAGAATTGTCGAAACAGCATCGCGAAGACTACTGAGAAGGAAAATAGCATGGGAACATATGAGGAAGTAGAGATGCAGAGCCTTCATGATTCTGGAGTGTCATGCATCGGATGCGAGCGTGTGTAGGTGTACACGTGCGTGTTTAAAGCATTGTAATCATGGAACGCCGTTTGACGTTTTTTGATAGAGTGCATCCAGAAGATCATTGCGAAATTCCAATGCATTGATCGTGAGTAAACAACATCGTAAAAAGTTCTGATCTCTGATCAGCTATTTGACATTGTACCATTGAAATTATATCATGAAAGGGAAGACTAGTAGAGCATGAGCGTATAGACTAATCTAAGTAATGATAACTGTTTACTTTGATAAGATGCTGTTTACTGATATCATAATCATCCTGAATAAAGAAGAAATGCACGAGAAAGGCGACTGATACAATTGAGATGTTCAGTATCTTTAATTTCAATGCAGCCGAATCGCTTGATTTAGTTCATTGCGAATGAGCACGGATTGCCCACCCTCCACTTTCCACCCTCAATTCGTTAAGAGACTTTCTTCAGATCAGATTGGTTCATCTACCTGATGATGCTTTTATATTCCAACCGTTAGATACAAGCTATTCTAACTATTGAAGATGGTATTTTTTGATCAGTCATCCGATAGGAATTAATAAATTTTCAGGGGACAGGAGATGAATGAATTGTTGAGCTTGCTGTAAAATAGAATATTCTGCCATACGGCTGACGCAGAATATGGAACGCACGAAGGTAAAAACGGAAATTGGCAGGAGGATATTTCCAAATAAATTGAAATTTTCATCGGGAACTGATGTACTAATCTTATTGTTAATCAAGAAGCTACGTTCTTTAACATGGACAAAAGAGGTACAACTTACCTCAACTGCCTCGGTTGTCTACATTTGATATGAATTGATTAGGTTTGAGACTGATGAGAATTACGTTGATCATTTATTATTACAAGTTGATACTAGTGGTGGACAGTTTAATGCAGTCATTTAACCTCAAAAGTACTGCTGAGCAATTCTGCCTCGTGGAGGAGATATAGCTATTTTCCTAATGCTGTATCAATTTTATAGGGGTTATCATCTTCTTTTGTGCGGTGCATACATCAGCTTCAAGTATTTGAGATCTCAGATGCTCTTAGGATCATGATGTTTGCGTTTATTTATTTAAATGAGCTTGATTTCTATTTTAGAAAGTACACCTGTACTGTTCAAAAGAAATTTTGGATTCTTGTGTTCCCGTCGCATATAAAAACCCCTCATTGATCTATTCGATCACACCGCTTCTAACTATTTAAATAATATGTCATATTCAGATAACTTATGTCCTTCGATCTTATCAGCATCGTAGGAACTCTTGACATCAGTCTTATCAAGCATTAGTTCTATTTAAATCAATCAATCGTTTTTTCGTGGTCGGCTGCTTTGTTTCATTTAGAATCCTGTAAGAATTTCCGTTCAGGCTTCTTCGCAATCAGTATATTTGTCAAGAAGCATCGACGATTGCATAGGATAACTGGATTCAAGTTCGTCATTGGCCGACATTAGAAAATCACCACCAATTATTGGAGATTATTTTTGTGGGGCTGAAGCTAATCATTAACTGAGATACAGAGTGGTTGTTCATCCCTATGAGAAGCGACGATTTTCTGTGTGGCTAGCGAGTTGAACTGAATTTCACTAAATTTTCACTCGTCTTTGAGCTGTTCGAATCACTCACATTCATGAAAAAAGCAATCGCATTTTAGATTGCATCAGCAACAAATCAGTTCATTTCAGTCAACTTCAGTTGGAGTTTTATTCCTCAAAAATTTCATTCGATTATATGTAGATCATCACGAATAAAACAATGCAGAAAACACATAAGCGAGTACTTCTTGATCTTATATTCAATTGGACTGATAACGCTGCTCTATTCACCAATTAAGATGGCATGCAGAAACATGTCATCATACCGAAAAATATTCATCAAAATATCAGTGAAGAAGAATTTTCCTCTCAAAAAGAAGTGAAAAAGAATTTTCACTAAAATCTCCTCCTAAAAGACAACCTGAAGAACCCAAATATACACCTAACCACATTCTTAAAGTACGAATACAAGCCAATGAGTACAGCGAATTCAGGCTCAAATAGGCAAGCACATCCGTTCATCTAGTAATCGAAAAAAAAATGTCAAGAAGAACAACCGACATCAACAATTCGTATTCCGTTACATCATTACCATCAATTCAAATTCAGATGAAATGATCCAGTGACAGCAGAGATTAATAAAATATTGTAACATCATCAAGCGATAAGCTTAACGATAACAATCAAACAGTCATAACACAGAACACATCACCTTCTCATCGTCATCTTTCAATACTAATTCATAAAATTAATTATCGTCCGCCGGCTCGTACACATAATCACGACCGCTTTCTTCAGCATACTTCCAGAATGTTTCAGATACGTCCACTTTCGATATGCGAATCTTTTCTTTGGGAGTAATATGAACCACTGAAAAACTCATCAATTGTTATTGTCGTCATTAATGTTAAGCCGAAATGGAATGTGCAATATGAAGGAACAATGTCAANAATGAATGCAAAATATGGGAAATAAACCATAATAATGCACCAATATCAAAAAACTAACTGTTCACAACTCCTCCTGAACCAGAATCACGGAAGGTGGCTTGCACGATGGCGCGACGAGCCAACGCTCGAGCTTCTTCATCGCGCATCTTCGGTTGATAGAATGAGTCCAAAACGCCGTAAGCACTGCAATATTAGTCATACACTGACCACAGGCCTCAGTTCTCACTTGTTCCAATACATTCATAAAGAAAGTCGATAATGAATGAACAAAACGATTTCATACCTTAATGAGCCCGAACCAATACTACACAATCGCAGCTGTACCCGTTGACCTTCACTGTCCACCTTGAATATGGCCGGGCCTCGCTTATCGTAACCAGCAATCATTGATCCCTCCAATGCGAATATTTCACAAACAAAATCTTCACTAACTCATCACACCAACTAACACATCAAATTCTGATATGCCACTAAAAGGTGGATGGATACCAACTGAACAACAAAATACAAACATCTCAAAAACACAAACAAAATTAATCAGCGTATACATACCACTGATAGACCATAATTGCGATAGTTGTAGAGGACGTTCGAAAAATATTTACTTGCTGCTGCGACGGTGATTTCAGATTTCTCACGCAGTTCGTACAATCTGCAACAGGAATTCATTACCAACTCTGCTCATATTCACTGATATATGTTCGACAAACTGACCACCAGCAACATCATAAGAAATCATCTAACGTCTTTTTCTGTTGCCATAATTCTATCAAATAGAAATTATAAGTTAAATGGAACGCTCAATAGAGGATATTGCAGTAAACAGAAACATAACCAACGTTACGAAATACAAATGAGGAGCAGATCAATCATAAAGACGTACGCGCAATATTTGGCAACAATTCGTGTCCAAAACTGACAGTCTGCTGCGCCTCCGGCCATTGTGGCCACCATACGATCACTGATATCCAAGATTTTCATAACACTTTTTGAGGCTGGAAGGAATAAAATATGGACAACAGAATAACATGTCAACAACACTGAAATAGTTCCGTTAAATGATGTGAACGACACATTGCCTTTAC